GATTAGTGTGGTTTGTAAGACCTGAGTTTTTGATTCAGATGACTTCATCAGTGAAATAAAGTGTGAAATATGAGTACCTGCTTCACTTATTTATCTACCATTTATGATATTTCTTCATGATTTCAGTTGACGAGACCTGGTTAACAAAGGTCATGATAATTTTTTTTAAAAAAAACAATAAATTTGTTTTATTTCTCAAGAAAAACATAATGTAGCTGGATCTAAGTGCATTAATATGTTTATGTAAAGCATGAATTTCAAAAAATTTTCGTTTATAAAGAAAGCATGCAATCCAATTACACAAGCGGAAAAACACATCATTCATATTGCAAGTAAGATAATTACATTCTAAAAAAATAAGAATCTATTAAAGTAAGATAAAATGTACTTTTTATTTCAAGATTCTTACTTTCGGATATCATCGCACTAACGATTGATTTTTCAACCAAATAAGCTTACATTTATTCTTCAAGAATGCTTTCAACTTGAACCTTAAGTGCACAAGGTATAAAATGCTACACTACAAAATGGTAATCAATTTTGTCTCTCTTTTCTTTTTAAAAATTAATGGTTATTTTTCTTTTAAAAAATCAACCAAAAATCTGAAAGAAGAAGAAAGGTAAGGCAAAATTAGGAGAAGAAGGAGAAAAATGACGGCTAACACTTTTTTCCAAGAAACATACGTATGTTCTGTTTCTTCCAATTTCTTCTTATTTTATTAAAACTCTTATCTTATTTTATTAAAACTCTTACTTCAAAAGTTTAATTAAAATCAAATACCTTTAAATCAATCTTAATCATCCATTTAGAGTTACAGATGCATCAAACATATTCCATAATTATCAAAAGTAAACTCAAAGAATAAATAATTTAATTCCTTAATTAGCATTTAGAGTTCTTGATAAAATAAAACTCCTTGTTAAATAATAACTCTTATTTTATTATTATTCATATTTATTTAAAAATAATTAATAATAAATAAAAGAGTAATAATCAGCTCTTTTTACAAACATGGATGTCTAGATTCATTTTGTAAGAATACTCTTAACATTATCTTAATTAAAGACAACTTTTGTCTTTAATTAAAATAAAACATATTATCTTGTATAAATTGAGACAAACATGTTTCTTGTCTAAATTAAGACTAAATATATTTTTCTTCTTTTAAATTAAGACAAATATGTTTTCTTGTCTAAATTGGAAAAAAACATGTTTGTTATCTAAATAAAGACAAGCATAAAAAAGTTATCATTTTTATACATAAATTTAATTAATCAAATAAGAGATGTATTCCAACTTAAAAAGGTTCAATTTTTTGAAGCTAAATGGAGAATCTATTTGAACATAGATATTCCAACCTCCAATAAACTTAGAATTATTCTTAATTTTATTAAGATAATTTAAATTTATTAACCATGAAATCACATCAACATAGATTCATGGTTGTACTCTTGGATTACTATAATTATGAGAAATGATTCAATACTTGATATTCATTATTAGTTGTCCAATTGCAAACCTTATACTATGAACCTTCATAACCATCCAATGATAAAAGATGAAATTACTGTTTACCCTTTATGTCAATTTTGTCCTTTAGTCTCAAATTTCATCTAATTAGCGATCCAATACTCTAGACTTAATCTTTTGAGTATCAAGATGTGATGAGTAGCTAATTCATCAATTCACTAAGCCCAAATTAATCGTCAATTATCTTGAAATCACTAAAAGAGATGCTAATGCTATGAACTCTACAGTTTGGATATATGTTCCCAAATGTTCACCTAATTATAATCCCAACATATAGAGTCTAGATCAATGATTTATGGTGATCATGCCCATGGTACATAAAAGATTATAAAGAGATAAAACACAAGTCCATTATCCATTAGGATTTTGATTTTTCTATAAGCAAATGCATAAGTGTGAGATCAAGATTTAAGTAAAGGTTAAACTTAGATTTGATTCTCACATGATTTCACTTCATGTTATAGTATCATTATTCGAAATCAACCATTCCAATAATTTAAGACTTATTATTCCTTTAAAGTGAATCACATTCATTTCGTTAGAAGTAATTTGGACACTACAGCCTTAACACAATAAATTGACTTGTTTTATTATATAGCTGTGAACAATTTTTAAATTTAATTAAAATATATGTCTCCTATGTATGACTCTTCATACAAATTTATTTTAAGATCTTAATAGAATCATGGTATCTTAATAACTAGATAATAAATGTTTACTTATTACCTATTTGGCCTCACTTTTTTTTAGCTTATCTACTTTTAAAAGTAAAAGTCAAGCTAAATAAGATTTTTGATAAATTTTTTTTTTTAAAAAAAAGTAACTTTTTTTAAAGAACTAAATTTTAGAAAAAATAGAATAAAGAAAAGCTCTAAGAGGAGCTTTCTCTTCTCTTTTTTTTAAAAAAAAAACACGCTAGCTTTTCAGGAAATATCTATCTCTCTCAATCAATCTCTCTTTCCTCATCCTCATTCTGTAAATCACCTTTCTCGAATGTAGAATCACGATTTTCGTTTCCTTTTTCTCTCTCTACAAAACTATTAAGAGCCTGTTTGGCCTAGTTTTTTTCTAACTTAAAAGCTATTATAAAGCTCTTATGAAAAATAATAGCTTTTAGAATTAAGTTGAAGTTGTTTGGTAAGTTATTTTTTATAAGTTATAAGTTTAGTTAAAATTATTGTTAAGGGTATTTTTTTTAGAGAGTTATATTGTAATTATTTTTAACAGATGAGGATATTTTTGAAACAAAAATAAAAATTTTCTTGTATTTTTAAAAAAAGAGAAAAAAAAAGCTCCTCATAGGAGCTTTTCCAAAAGCTCTTTTTTAAAAAATTTTATTCTTTAAAAAAAATTATTTTTTTTTAAGAGTTTTTCAAAATTTATGTTTGGTCTGGCTTTTGCTTTTAAGAGATACATAAGTTGAAAAAAAGTCAAGCCAAACGAGCACTAAGCAAAGAAAAAAATAAAAGACCCAGCAATATAATAGCAAAATTTAATTTTTTTTGTTCTTACAAAAATTAAGAAAAAAAAAGACTCAAAATTCAAATATGTTTTCATGTACTATTTAAAAGTTTTCTTTCTTATTCGCCAAAAAATTTTGAACTATTACTATTATATAAGTTTGAGAGATGTTTCATTTTTTTATGGATTTTTTTTATTCAAACATTTGAAATCGTGTATAAATTGAAACAAACTTGCTCTGCTTTAGTTTATTATGTGATTAAAGATGATATAAATATCTTTTATGGTAATTTTAACCAAAACTATGACTTATATAATTTATTTTGCCAAACAGGTTACCAAATAATTTAGTTTAATTTTAAAAGCTATTACTTTTTATAAGAGCTTTATAATAACTGTTAAGCTAAAAACAACCTAAGGCAAACAAGCTCTTAAAATAAACTTTTGGTCTTATTATCAAAATATACTTTGATTACAAATAAATTGAATAAAATTAAATATAAAAATATACTTGCTTTCATGATAGTATATTCTCAAATTCCTAACCAAACTACTCCATGGTGGCAGTGAAGGATCATGGTAAAGATTGCTTTTGAATTCAAAACCACGAGAGTTGTTAGATAGATTGCTTTTGAATTCAAAACCATGAGAATTGCTAGATGTTGATTTGTCTTTGGTAGTTTTGTTTGCAATCATATTCAAATGAGGTTTCTTTTGACGTACATGTTTATTTTTTCTCGGCTCTATTTATAGAAGCCAACTATAAAGTCAAATTATGTAAAATCTCCATGTTCTTGACATAACTAGTATTTTCTTAACTTCTCTTGACCCCAATGACCACATGTAATATAAGAAAACCAAACTTTTTACAATCCTACTTTTTTTCATTTATTTTTATTATTATTATTTAATAAACAGTTGAATTTATAGTGTAGGGGTTGCTACCGTTGTCTATTTCATTGATGATTCTTTTATGTGAAGAACTTGTACCAAAAGGCCTCCCTTCTAGAAGATGGATGTTAGTTGTAGGTGCCACTTTTTGAGCCCTTTAGTTGGCTTGAAATGATTTAAATTTCAAGGCAAAGACGTGGAAGAAAGAGGAACTAGTCTTCATGATTACCACCAGGTCAAAATTCTGGATTAATGCCATTTAGACGAAAAGAGACATGGAAGAAATTGGTTGGTGGGTTTATGCCTAGATTTCTAATTAGACCGTTAGTTACTAAGGAATTTAGGAGAGGTGTGGAATGGATCCCCTTATAGAAAAAAAATTGAAATTTCGCGCAGATGGTTCAGCAATTAATACAATGACCTTGTTTGAAAAAAAAAATGTAGTGTAGGAAGGCTGTCAGAATCGTAACGATTTTTTTATTTTTTTTGAAAAGTATTGATTTTATTAGTTTCATTACCATTGTGCCATCGTCAAGTTTCCGTATGAAGACCGAAAGACTCTTCATGGCACTAAAGGATGGTAAGAGCTGTGAGTAACTTTAGAAATACACAAAAATACCACCACTAGAAGGATATGGCAGCATCTAACCACTAGCAGAAAATAACCTTTGAACAAAAACAGGGTTTGCCATGAGACGCATCAATTCAGACTACCCAGGGAAAGTCAACAACACATGCAAAAATCAACAGCCAGCCCCTAAACAAAGCGCAGCTGAAACGAAAATAAATAAATAAATAAAAACCCCAATCAAGAACAAAGAACCCCAAACAGGACGACCATCCACCCAATCCATACATCCCCACAGCGAGCACTCATGAGCAACACAAGCATCGGGGGTCTTCAAACCAAAGACCAGCACCCCTGACTGAGACAAAACCAACAAGAAGCAACCGGAGCAAAGAGAAAACCAGCATCAAATGAACGAACAAAGCGCTATACTCCCAGCCGCATTTCAAAGACTCAAAGGGAGACCTTAGGACCTCCAACCAGCCGTGACCCCAACCAAGAGCCTTTGCCGCAACCGACTCAATGCACCCGCCCCACCTGAAGACAGACATCATTCCCAGCCGCCCCAAAGCAACTTAGCCTCTCAAAATCGGCAGACCGGACTCCCGTCCACCTCGCCGAAATCAGGAACACAAAAACTAAATAGTCCCAACTATAACGGTTTAGTTGAAATTACTCGAGCCGCTGGACCATATCTGATAGATGATGACTCACTTACCCACATGATTTTATTTGATGACCTAGCTTACTTTATGTGAGTATTAATATTATATATTTACCAGTAATTGTTGTCGTATACGTGAACATAAGTTTTTTATCAAGCCACACCGTGATAGAAGAGTAGAGAAATTGCTTGACTAACTCCAGGTTTAAGGAGTGAAAGAGTCCATTATATATAAATATAAATATAAATATTTTATAAACTAAAATTTTATAATACTAATTTATAAATTATTTACTACCATCAGAATTAAGATTTTTTTAATCAATGTAAATCAAGGTAATTAAAATTCTTATTTATAAATGAAATAAAATTTAAAAAATATTTAAATTGATAATTTAGAAGTATAATGAAAAATATATTCATTTCCGTTAATTAAAAGTTTTACTAACATCTATACTTGAATACTTGTTTTTTATATATTTTTAAATAATAATTATATATAAGTGTAATTGCTTTTAAAGTATAATAATTGAAATTTATAATAATATCTATAAAATATTATTATTCAATACAGGAAAAATATTTTTATTTATATAATAAAAAATATTTAAAAAGAGAATTTATAAATAGAATGAACAAATAAATCTCAAGAATGTTTTTTAATGAAAATAATTCAATACAATTAGAATTTTTTATTAGGCAAATGGCAATTTGGAATTTCTTAATTTGAAGTTCAATACTTATATGATACTACTACATGCGATTACAAATATTATTTATATAAAAATTAAAAAGATTTAAAGCAAATGACAATTTAGAAATATAATGAGTAAAAATGTCTTTTAATCAAAAAAATTTGACATTCACACATTTATTATTTATATTAATAATTAATATTATTATTATTATTATACAGATATTGGGTAAACTTTTTATAGTCTATATATTCCTTCTTAAATAATTGGATCCAAATAAGGTATTAACATCTAAATACTTATTATCTTAGCACTTGCGACAAAAGGAAAAAAACAAAAACATGTTGAATTTTATACAGTTATACAAGTATGGTAATATTGAATCGTTACGAAGCACGGCCAGTAAAACAATCGTTATGAAGCTTGGGCAATTGATGTTTGTTTATTCTAAGTACCCGTTTGACTCATTATCCTGCTATATATATGATAAAAGATAAATGTTTAATTTTAAGTGTAATTTCGTGAATTTATATATATACACGTATGTAGTAAAATGAAATATAAATGATGAAATTTAAAGTTTCAAAAGAATTCATCAATATATATATATATATATATATATATCTTAAACAAGATTTTTATTCGGAAGAATATTATATAAGTATGTAAAGTAAAATATACAATCAGATCAAATTGGAACGAGAATTCCTTTGTGTTTATTCATTACATATATATTCTTGGAATTCAAGGAAGTAATTTGGAGCCATATTTATGTTTCAAATAATGCTTTGATATTATAAGGCCATATGAGATCCGAACCCCCACTCCACATTTCCTTTGCAAATTGTTGATAGGCCTTTTCTGAGGGATGATAGGAGTCAAAGAAGAATTTTTCACTAGGATTCTCACATAATTCATACTCTTTTATGCCTCTCTTCCCTCCACAACTATAAATTCCTCGGAACAAACCAGAGCCGCAACGTGCCGTCTTGGCATCTTTGAACCCTTCACATCAAGTCATTATAATTATCAACCCACGAAAATTATGTTAATCAGTATTTGAAATACAAATTATGGCTTTGATGCCGAAGTCTAAGGTAGGAAGATGGAGTGACATACCATATTTTGAAGGGTTGCTTAATCTCTCACCGACAGTTTTATAGAAATTGTAATTTGAATATTTGAAGCCTGGCAGCTGCTTCTCTAGCTCGTGAAGGACTTTGGGAAGTTCTTGATCGTGCAGTTGGGCAAGCTTGTTGACTTCATCAAGGCAAGAACCATTGCTACCTACTTGTAGTTTGATGAATGGCAAACAACCCAAAGGAGCCATATTTGGAAACCCGAACTTCCTTCCTCCTATCTTGTATATTTCCTATACCACTTTTAATAGATTAATAGTAATTAAGCAACTACCAAAACACACGAAAACGTACGGTTTGATTTAAATTATCTATGTTTTAAGTTTAATTACTTTGAGTGCAATAGTCAGGTTGCGAATCACCATGGCAACATACTCTACATCAGATGCGGTGGAGTTTCGAGTCAAGTAATCATTGGCTCCTATGCTAATCAAGTAAACAGCTCTGGACAACAATTTCTTGGCTTCTGCACCTCCTAGTTCTTGTCTCAGAGATTTCTCTGCTTTCTTGAAATAGCTTACTTGAGTTTTCAGGTCTATAACCTGGAAGTTGTCAAAAAAAAAAAAGCAAGGGAGATGAAAAAAAAAAATTAAAAAAAAAATTTACAAGGCGTAATATAAACAGAAACAGTCGCATGTACTAAGTAGTAAACATAACAATATATTTTTTAATGTAAAAAGCAGAATAAATATAAAATTACTGTGTCTGTTGGCAGGTGTGTATTTTGTAATTTGAACTGATATAAATCTAAACTAAACAACCCTATTTAAGCATTAAATAAAAAAAAAAAAAGCAAGACGAATATGATGAGAAAACATTAACATACAAATCCTTGATTTGTTTCAACTAGAGCACCAGCTCCTCCTGATGCGAAGTTCACCCCATGTATGAATTTACGATCACCAGGTTGTAAATACGCTGGAATTAATGGCAAGCCTGCATACTCAGCTGAAACAAAATTGTAAGATATAGAGAGTGAGTGTGGTTGAAATTGAGGTTGCCGAAGGAAATAAAAATCATTTTGGAAGTTTGAAAATTACCTATAAAGTCCGGAATTAGACGCCCATCAGAAAATCTGCCTGTAGGGTACCTGAAGAAGGTCTCACCATAAGGCCAGAAATTCGCCTGGTAAGCAAAAGTGGTGTTGATGTAATTGTTGTTTCCAGGATCAAATAGTGAATCACCAAAAATGATTAAAGCGACATGGTTTTCCCGCAGGCTGTGGCAGCTTATTAGGCTGAGAAAGGTTGCGTAGGTCAACAAGGAACATAAATGGGCCCTCAAACTTGCCATGGAGACACTGGTTAGCTTCGGTTTACATTCAGTATCTGTTATTTATAATGGTTTTTGTGTTGACTTTGGGACATGAAATATGAAATTTGGTTTGTCTGGTGGCGTGTAGATTTCATTCCACACTGTATACTCCTAAATATTTATCAAATTAACAATTTTATATTATCTTATTCTTGAAAAAGTTTAGTCTTTATTGATGATAATTTGTTTAGTTTCCATTTTTCCTTTTGGCAGACTCCTTTTTAAATACAATTAATTATTATGAAGACAAAAAAAAAATTGCAGTGCATTAATAATTAGTATGTACTCTAGATAATAATAATTAATTAGTTCAGCTCCATCACTTAGATTTGGTTTTTTTTTTTCGTATTCTTTTGTACTGATCGCTTAAGAAATTTTTCAAAGTAGGACGTATTATTTTAATTAGTCATAACGTCAAGGTTAGAAAGTAAATGCATGTTAGTTTCAGAATTCTAATTTATTATTGCTCTATTATTTTATTTGCATACATGTATTCTTCCACTTAATAGCCTATTGAGTTTATCAAAATAGGATGATTTATTTATTTAAATAGAACCTGCGATTAAGAATAAAGTAAATGCATTTTAGTTTGAAATATAATGGTAGTCTAAGTCGTCTTTCATGTACCAATTAACTTTGTCATTATTTTTAATTGTTGCTTATAGCTTAGCAAATAGCTTTTTTATCTTCACAAATTTCAAAGCTGAGATTGCTTCAATAAAGAGTGCAAAGCCATCTTTGTTATAAAGAACATAATAGACCGAATTTCTGTACTGAATTTAAAGGATCCCAGCCATGTTTCACTATAAAATTTTTGTTAAAATTTAAATGTTATTTATTTACTTTAATTATTTATTATTAATTAATGTCTTAATGTCTACAAAAAATTGTTGGACTTCTCTACTATAAGATATAAGACATACAAACTTGCCTAGAAATATGAAGAGGTTAAGAATCACTATAGTCGGAATTAAAAACGAAATTGTGGGAAGATAGTGTCTGAACTCTCTATGGAAATGCATGTAGGAGCCTCGGTTTAAGCCTCTTTTTGGCTCACAACCTGAGCTTTATGTTATGAGTTATGACTTAACTTTCTATATTAAAAAAATGTTTAAGACAACTGACAATGTTTTAAATTTTGAGACAAATTTTTTTAATCTCAACAATAGGTTGTCTTCGAAAATAATTTTTTTAATTTTAATTGTTTTTAACCAATAAAAAAAAGCTTTTAGATAAAATTGCTTTTAATGAAACCTTTTTATATTCAAGCACACATATTAAAAAAAAGTTGTTGTATGCCATATTGAAAATTAAATTGTTACATGCCATAGTTAAGTTAGGTGTTTAATTTCAAGAGTTTATGTCTTAATAAAATATAAAGATAGATGCCAAATTATACGTAATGTTGAAACAAAAAAGTTGTTATATGTTGAAAAGAAAGTTGTTACATGCTATATTGAAGCGATTAACTCCAAGAGTTTATATCATAGAAAAATATAAAATTAGAGACCAAGTTACACGTTATTTTAAAAAAAATTGCTACATGTCATGTAAAAAAAATTGTTACACTTGAAGGTGTTTTAACTTTAAGAATTTATGTTTTAGTGAAATACAAAAATAGAGACCAATTTAAACGCTATATACTTTTCAAAAAAAAACTTACAAGTCATGTTAAAAAAAAATTATTACATGATATGTTGAAAAAAAAATTGTTACACATTATATTTAAGATGTTTAACTCTAAGAGTTTATATCTTAGTGAAATATAAAAGTAGAGATCAAGTTACAATACACATCATATTTAAAAAAATTTGTTGTTGCATGTTCAAAAAAAGTTATTACAAGCTATGTTAAAAAAAATTGTTACACGTTATGTTTAAGATATTTAAAACCAAGAGTATATATCCTAGTAAAGTATAAAGATAAAAAACTAAGTTACATGACATGTTACAAGTCATTTTTAAAGTATTTAACTTCAAAAGTTTATATCTTAGTGAAATACAAAGATAGAGATCAAGTTATATGTTATATTTAAATCATGTCATAATCAGTAAATTTGTTACACGTTAGGTACATTAGAGTTGATACATACAAGCATGACGTGTAACAACTTTGAACAATGTTCTAATTTATAGATCTTACTTATAACTTAAATAAATAAATTTTACGGTTCTATGAATGTAAACTAATAAAATCAAGAACATACATTGATGTCATATCTGTTCTTTGGTCTGTAGATTGATAACGATATGGCGAGAAATAAGAGAGAGATGGTGATGGTAGTAAAATTAAAGAGAGTTGGATGGTGAGAAAGAGAAATTGATAGCACAACAGACGAATGTGGAAGAGAGAAATCGATAAAATTAGAGAGATTTAAATGGTGAGAGAGAAATCGTTATAGACGGATACAAGAGGGAGAAATTGGGAGAAAAAATTGTAATAAATGGTTTAATTTGTCTAAAATGATTTCGAAGATATTTTTATCAAATCATGATAAAAATTGGATGAAAATAGTTAGTTTTATTTTTGGACAAGTTTTGAAATGGCCTTATGAGATTAACTATTTTTTACAATTTCCTCTTAAATTTTTAACTATTTATATATTTTTTTATGAAAAACCTAGGTCCAATTAAAATATTAAAGGAAAAGTCTTTAGTTCCATCTTTTAAGGAAACTCAAAATTTTGTCCAAGTTTAAAGAATTAAGCCTAAATAAGTCAACTAGAATTAATAATATGTGTTAAGCAAAGATTGCCATTTGGGTACTAAAAGATGGTATTAGGTAGCATTGAGAAACACATGAAAAATGTGTCATCAAAGCAGCAAAAAAATTGTTAAAATATCATAGGTCCCTATATTATGAGATTTTCATCAATTTAATCTATTTCAAAATTGATCAATCTAGTTTTTATATTTTAAAATTTTATACAATCAAGTCCTTTTCCCTAATCCTGTCCAAATTGACAATTAATATTCCTGACATGGCGATATCATGACATGTAACATCAGTATAGTTTGACATGTCAATGCCACATTATCATCCTTAACGGTTAATTTAGACGATGTTAGGAGAGTGACTCAATTGTACAAAATCTCAAAATACATAATTAAATTGATCAATTTTGAAATAGAGGATTAAATTGACGAAAATCCCATAATACATAGACCTATAAAATACTTTATTCACAAAAAAAAAAATTTAAAATATCAAAGTACATCTAGTCGGAGAAGAGTTTCATAAAGGTTAAAATACACATCATATCACGTCAAAGGTGGATTCAGAAGGTACCAAACTATTTAAATATTTCATCATAAAATAATAATAATGGTTTATTATTAAAGATTAAACAGCGCTTTGAGATTGTAAGGCCTTGTCATATTGGGAGTTCCACGCCAAATCAGCTCTGCAATCTGCCGGTTGGCCCTTTCTGTGGGATGCCCAGAGTCAAAGAACAAATATTCACTAGCCTTTTCACATAGTTGGTACTCTTTTATCTGTCTCTTTCCCCCACAGCTTGATTGTCCTCTATATGGACCACTGCCACAACATGCCATATTCCCCACCTTGAAACCTTCACAAAATATAACTTAGAAATACAAGTAGGGTTTTGTCTTTGCAACAAGTATTATAGAGGGGATGGCATGATACTTACCATATTTTGAAGGGTTGTTCATTCTTTCACTTACAGAAGTATACAAATCATGATTTGCAAATTTGAATCCCTCTAGTCTGTTCTCCAGCTTCTGGAGGGCAATGGAAAGTGCTTTATTGTGCAGATGTGCTAGTGTTGTAGCTTTGTCAACGCAAGAACCGGTGCTTCCTGACACAAGTACTTTCATGCCTGGTGTACAGCCCAGTGGCCCCAAGCCCAAAAACCCAAATTTCCTTCCTCCTTTCATATGTATTTCCTGACACATTTTAAGTAACATCAGATTGTTATCAACTGATATCAGAGAAAATCTAGGGGTAGAATCAATTTCCTGTATTTAAGTATGATTACTTTGATTGCAACAGTCAGGTTGCCAATCACCATTGCAACATATTCTTCTTTGGAGTAGGATTGAAGCACGCTTGAGTTTTGAGTAATACGGACACCGTAATCGTTGCTTCCTATGCTAATTATGTATAGGGCTCTTCCCAGCAATCTCTTGGCTTCTGCATCACCTAGTTCTTGTCGCAACAATTTCTCAACATCCTTGAAATAACTTACTTGAGTATTTAGGTTTATAACCTGGATTTACACCCACACCCCCAACAAGAAAAAGGCAAAGGCAAAAATGAAAACGTACACCGTGATTAGAAATAAAAGAGAAAATGTCATAGCAATACACTTTTCATTGTCAATGCTAGAATATAACTAAAATCACTATGTATGAGGGTGGATGTGTTTTGTGTCTGAAGTGACTTCAATCACAAACAAACAAGCTAATGAACAAAACATCACATACAAATCCTTGATAAGTTTCAACGAGAGCACCAGCTCCTGCAGAAGCGAAGTTCACCCCATCCACAAAGTTGTTGTTACCAGGCTGTAAGTATGGTGGAATTAAAGGTAACCCTGCATACTCAGCTGGCGACATAATTTTGAGAATCAGTAGATGTTGATGGTAAGTGATATAGAAAACAGAACACTTTTTTAAGTGCTTTACCAATGAAATCTGGAAGAAGACGCCCATCAGAAAATCGGCCAGTTGGGTACTTGAAGAAGGTTTCACCGTACGGCCAAAAGTTTGCCTGATAATTAACAGTGGTGTTGATATAGTTGTTGTTTCCAGCATCAAAAAGTGAGTCGCCAAAGATGAACAAAGCGACATGGTTTTCTGGCAGACTGTAGCAGCTACTTAAGCTGAGAAAGATTGCAAAATAAAGCAAGAAACAGATATGGATCCTTAAACTTGCCATGTGAAAACTGGTCTGCTTTATGTTATGCTTTTCCCTTAGTTCATTATCCCTTAATTATAGAGGTTTTCTTTTGACTCTACAACAGGGACAATAGAAATAAAATACAATCTAAACTATTGTCTGCGTTGGCTTGACGATGTTTGTCTATGACTCCACGTAATATCTGAATAATAAAACAGTTATTCAAATGTTGAATAAAATACAATGAATGACAGTATGAACAGTCTGGGCTCCTCGGATGCTTGATTTCTTCATATAAAATAATAAAAATGTTTATTTTTTTTCCTTTTTAAAGACTTGAATCTTCTATAAAATAACTTTCAATCTGTCAGTATTCCTAGTCCCTAAGAAAGGGTAGGGAGAGTTTACTAAATTTTTATGGAGCTTGACAACAAGGTTCATTCTGTAACCAGTTGGCCCTGTATATCAGAAAAGGTTCAAATGAATGTTCATTGAACTGTAATTTCATGGATTTTCAAACCTGCTGGGCAACGGTTTTCAATTTTTATGGAGGTATGGACTCCCTTTGTGAAGAGCCACTGGCACAGCCTGAAGAATGTTGACTTGGGATATGTAAACTACAATCTTACACTCAGGTTATAAGAGAAGCTAAATTTACTTAATTATACAGCATGATCAGATGATATAAAGTAGAGGACAGTTTTCCTGTGGAAAACTTGTGTTGAGAAATGGAATATGCATCACATCGTTTACTCTGTGAAAACCTCAACATTATATCAAAAGGGTAAAATGTTGATTACAATCAGGGGCGATTAAAATAAAGTTGAAGTCACTTTCAACCGAGGAGAGTTGGTGGTAGACAGAATCTTAGCTTTGATTAATGGATAATACTATGCACCATATTTTGTCTTCATGCATTTTTCGTTTTCTCATTTATCAATGTTTTCCATCTTTCAACGTAATTTTTTATTATTATTATTAATGAAACTAACTAAATAATAGTATCTAAATATTTAATTTATTAATTAATATTTTTTTTATTTAAATAACAAGATTCGAATTCTCTCTCTTTCAATTATATATATATATTAAAAAAACTAACCGAGTAACCTTAGTTCTTAAATAATCAATCTTGCTGTATTTTGATTAACATTAATTTTTACTCTAAACTTATTGCTAAACCTATATATTAGCATTTAACATTTAAAAAGAATTTCTTTTATGATAGGATACTCGCTTCAATCTATCGGCTACTTGTCCTGCACCTGAACAATCACGCACTACAGTCGCATCACTGGCACAACACGCAATCTTTCCCTTCCTGAAAACCTTCACATCATGAAAATGAAAATAGTATTAAATGTATTAGATATTATTAGACTTGTCAAAATAGATTTGACCTATTAAATTCGTTATTTTTTATTAAATATGAGTGGATTAGGTTTAAAATTTTAAATTTATATTAAAATCGGATCTAAATGGGTCAGCCCACCAAACCAGTGTGTCGAGGTGGGCTAACCCTATGGGCTAAAAAAAATAATTTTAATTAATTTAATATTTATATATTTAATTATATAAAATTAATAATTTAATTACCAATGGTATTATTTATTTTATATATTTTAATATTTTTAATCTTTACTTGTCAAATTAAAAATTTTAATTTAGATTAAAACTTACTATCTCTTTTTCTTTTATGGTAATGAATATTAGATGATAAATCAATAATGATTCTGACCTTGAAACATCATTGTTGTCTAAACAAAATTTAAATGTTTTGCATGAGAATGAAAATTGAAGAGGATATAAAAGAGTATTAAAATTTTTATCATGTGGTTATATACTTATGTTTATGGGATAGTAATTTGTATTAAAGATTTAAACTTTATTATATAATTTATTTATTTTTTCATATTTATTGTAATTTGTTTATTTTAACATGTTTTTATTATTCAATTTATGAATTAAATCATAGAACAATTTTATTAATAAAAAATTTATCAAGTAGAATTATAACAATGAGTTTTTTTTTAAAAAAAATAAAAATAAGTTGACCCAATCCAATTTATGGACTAACAAAGAGTGGGTTAGGTTGAGATTTTGATGATCTATATAAAAAATAAATTGACTCAGTCCAATTCATATTTTCTCAACCCACAAGGGCTTGGGTCAAGTTGAACCGAATCAGCCCATATCAACATCCTATGGTAGATACTTCATGCCAATAACAATGGTAGGAAGATGGCTTGATGCTTTAATATATTTTGAAGGCAATCCATCCGTTTTCGAACAAGTTGTGATATCAATATTCGAATTTTCCCAATTGGTTTTTAGATTCCGGAGGCAGGCAGTGAGAAGTGCTTTATTATGCAGTTGTGCTCGCTTGGTTGCTTCATCAATGGAAAGAACCTCTGCTTCCTAGTGCAATCAAATTCACAAAACCAAACTTCCTTTCTCCTTTCTTGTACATTTCGTAAGCCATTTTAACAATATATTGCAAGCAACCAACAAAAAAGAGGGAGGTAAAGAATAATGGTAGAAATTAGATGACAATTAAATTTTTTTTTTTAAAAAATGAGAGATGGAGAATTTGAATCTTGTTCTTTGGATGATATGTAACAGTGGTGTTGATACAGTTATCGTTTCCTGGATCAAATAGTGAGTCACCAAAGATGAATAAAGCAGCATTGGTTTTAGGCAGAGTGTGGCAGCTAATGGAGGCTGAGCAAGGCTGCGTAGGAAAGCAAGTAACAGATATAGGCCCTTAAGCTTGCCATGCCAAAACTGGTTTGCTTTCTGTTTTGCTTTGCTCTTTTTTGCGTTCACAATAGCACTTACTGGTCTGAGCAATCTAATTTTGTTGCTGATGATAGTTTTGATTTGAGAAATAAAATTTAAAGAGAAAAACATGATATCTTTTCAAAATGATTGCTTATAAATTATATATAATAAAAATGTTTCATATTGTAATAGGTTTATTGAAATTCATTGACCCTATTTATATTAATTTTTTAAAACATTCATATTTTCATGAATCTTAATGGATGTTACTGTTCAAATTCTTGCATAATGTATAAACTTCAGATTCATAAATTTTTTTAGCGATAATGGTGTGATAAAAAAATAAAATAATATTAGAATAAATATTTTATGTATAAAAGAACACATGATTCATATTGTGTAACTTCATAACAAAGGTGCAGTTTCCAGTGGTAGATTGCTTAATTTAAGTGAATCTTTTGTTCTTTGATCTTTGACTAGTTGCGGGGTTGCTAGATATAGCCTTCTCTTTCCGAGACAACCCAAGTACTTATTTGAAATGAAATAACATGCATGAAGTTCCTGCAATCTCAGTTAAACTGAAGAAATAAATAAAACAGAGCACATACATCACATTCTGGAACAAAAGCTCAACATACCTACTATGCAATTCATCAATAAAATTCAAGGTTCCCTAACTAAACAACTGATAGGTGCATGAACTATATTGGGCACATAATTGTGTAAACTCTAAAACACTAACAAGCTCCAAGGAGCACTACGGGAATACTAACTAGTCAAACTGCTGCCTGAGCTGCATCTCTGTTTCACTTTTCCAAGTTGCATGAGATGACTGGCCCTTCATTCTCTTACTCTTCTCTTTGTCTTTGATAGTAGACCCCTTCTTCTTGGGATCTTTGTCAGTATCTGCAAGAGGACGATCTCCACACACTGGACAGACCATTCCTCTAGCACTGGAGTAAGTCTTTGGTATTCCACATTGCAGGCACATCCTATAAACACAACATATTTTGGCTAAGAAGAAAAACCAACAAACATTATATGGCGCATGCATAGATACTTTTAAAAAGGCCACTCTGCACAGTGTATCACAGAATAAACTCAGAAACTGATTATCACCATCCAAATGAACCTACAGCATGGTAAATTTTCTAATTTTCAAAGTAATGTCAGCAAATGCAGGTGAATGTAAGGTATGGGGCATCAGAAAGGGACAATGGAAAAGAACTGGTGCATGAATTCATGCTGAAAACAATCAAGATGTACCTCAAAAGCTCTGCAGCATCTTCAGCATTGGGATTTGATGCAGATGCCACCCGCTTCACTCCATCCTGGCTGGTGCTTGGAACTGATGATGTTGGAGGCTTGCTACCCTCAATATCACTTCTTACTCGCTCATGAATTCCAACAAGTTGAGGTTTGGCCTCGACTACAGCACCTTTAAACAATGAAGAAACCAAGTTAATCTGGTACAATGGAACTAATAGTTAGGATGGAGACAGTTTGACAAAACTCTAATTAACAGTACTTTTAAGGCATGGCAACAGAATGCTAATGTAAGGATTGAAAACAAATGACCAGGCAGAGGCAACCTACCTTGGACACGATAGTCAAGAGAAGAGTATGGTTTATACATTTCTCAAAAAAAGCTTCACTTAAAGTTACAAATAATAATAACGATATCTACAGTAGAGGCTACTGAAGAGAAATAAGATCCCAAAATCCAACAAATCAAACCATGAACATTGTTCCGCGCTGATACTACCAAAATGTAAAGTCAGCTTTCATCAAACCTTTTGATTGAAGCATAATCCAGAGCCTGCCACAGGCACCAGAGGAAAAAGATCTGCAAGGAAAGTTTGCTCTTTTACCATTGAGGTTCCACCTTCTTGCAAACTGCCTTTCCACCATGTTTAGTTAAAATACATTTATTGAAACCTTTATTCATTACCTTCAACAATTATAGTGCAATATTTTCACTTCACATATAAACACAGCAATTGCAAAGCCCATCAGAACTAAGCAATACAAAGAGACAGATTTGTAATGAAACTTGAAAGGGAAAACACAAAAGAAGAATACCAGCAGGCATATCCTTCTTATCTTTGAAACCCCTGCGGCCACCGCGCCTTCCTTGCTGATGATCCGAGTCTCTTTCTGGAGCCTGTTCCTCAACGGCATGGTTTAGAAACTCTGGTGGCCCTGAAATCTCCAGAAACCAACAAGACAACAAATACCATTTCAAATCAGATCAACCCTAAATCACCATCATCAATTTCACCTCACTTCAGTAACATATAAGAGCAAAAAAAAAAAAAAAGCCTTTTCACCTACTTTCAGTTGGTGAGAAAAAGAAGACGAAAAAAAGAATAGTATAAGAAAACGAATAAATGTTTTTAAATTTCATTCTTAAATCTCAAACTCTTCTTCGAAAGCTTTATTTTCTCTGACCAGACCATTTGAAAAAGGGGGCAAAAATACAGAAGAGAGAAATTTAGGGCAAAAAATTTATACTTGGGAGAAGGCGTCGAATGCTGATGGAAGAACGGATTTATGGGAGGGATCGGGGAAATCGAAAACGGAGGAGTCGTATCGTTTAGGAGCGGCGATATGGTTTTTAACATGGTCGTCATCGTCGTCGGAAGAGGCGCGGTAATGAATTTGGTCATGTTCAGCTGCTGCTGCTGCTTCTTCTTCTTCTTCCGCAGAAGAATAGCCTTGCAGGAGTGACAAGCTCATTGCCCGCTTTCACGTTTAACCTCTTTCTTGTTTCTCTTCAACAGGATATGGGATTTCATTGCTGCAGCGACGCTTTCTGTATTTATTTTTGGTAAATAAAACTATTTTTCCTTGCCCCATGGAATAATTAAAAAGTGTACCTATTATTGGAATCAGCAGTAATTTACCATTACTAATTTAAAAGTACTGTAAATGTTATTCTCCACACAAAGAGAAAAAAAGGATAATCCACGGAAGAAAATAAAGACCGAGAAACAAATGTGAATCTGGCGTTGAAGAGTTTGACGTTTTAAGACACCAAGTCTGACCTTGACCCACTTGATGCGTGGATCATCATGTCCATTTATGTAAATTGACGGTGGCCAAGAAGTTGCCTTTCACCTGGGGTCTTCCCCTCATTCTCCGGCTTTCCTTCTCTCTGTCTCCTTTCTCCTCGTAAGCGCCGTCTTTAATAAATCTGCCTTTCCCGACTGCGTCCATTTTCTTCGTAAAAACACAGACAAAGAAAATTCACGCAAGTTTTTTTTCCCAATAGAGGGTTTGAGAAGTTGCTGCCTTTTTCTTTTGTTTCTCGCCTGTGAAGGGGTGGGGTGGCCATGGAGAACGTCTTTAGCAAGCTACGGAATTTGGATGCGTACCCAAAAGTCAATGAGGATTTCTACAGCCGCACACTCTCCGGTGGCATTATTACCCTCGTCTCCTCTCTTGCCATAGTCTTCCTCTTCTTCTCCGAATTTAGTAAGTCTTCTCTCGACCTCCTTTTCTGTTTGTTTCTGCGGATTTTTGTATATATCTTAATTTTAGAAAATTGGGTTTTTAAATTTTATGAACGCAATACATAATCCGCTTGAAAGGTAAGATCTTTAAGGTAGAGGTTGACCGGAGTATTGGGTGATCACGTCCTTCTAATTTAGTGACATAATTGTTGCAATACTGTAGATACAGATATCTTAGTAAGTACGTTGTTTTGGTTTTTATATTTCATCTTCTACTTACAGGAGAACCTAAATTGGATGAAAGTAGTTAATGTTGTAAGCAGCTGACTGGAAGTTAAGCAACATAGGCTATTATAAAATTTGTACTATATGTTTTTCGCTTTTAGAATAATTTAACTTGTTGAAACAGGGTGATATTTAATTCTTGAATCATGGTTCTTATTATTATTTTGGGGATTTTTTAACAGGATTATACCTGCATACTGTTACTGAGACAAAGCTATTGGTCGATACTTCAAGAGGAGAAGCCCTACGCATAAATGTAATCATCTCTCTTGCTACTTAATTTTAAAGGAATTACCAAGGCTCATGTTCTAAATTCACTCCTGTAAAAATTAGTGCTATGCGGTATTTCAAGGTTGCACTGTGATCATGTTTGGTAAATATTTTTAAAGTAACTTTCTGCTTGTTATTGTACTGATGTGTGATATTCAAGCTCAAGCTTTCAGCAAGTGTTAGAGCCTTTTATGTTAAAAATATAATCTTATATGGTTGTTGTCGTTGATGTTGCTGTTGTCGTTGATGTTGCTTTACCTTATTAGTAATCATTCATGCTTTATTTGTTGACACCCCAGTTCTGTTTGGACATGCAGTTTGATGTCACTTTTCCTGCTGTTCCATGTACGCTACTCAGTCTTGATGCTATGGATATCAGTGGAGAACAACATCTTGACATAGTATGTGCAATGCAGCAGATGCTCGGATGAACATTGCTTATTGTTTTGATTTTTTTTTATTACTTTCAATCCGCTTTTCACCTCTGTGTCTGATTGCATTTGTAAACTTGCAATTTTATGTGCAGAAACATGATATAATTAAGAAAAGAATCAATGCTTATGGCGGTGTGATAGAATCCAGGCAGGATGGTATTGGAGCACCAAAGGTAGTTGAAAGATAATTCTCTAGCTCTTCTTGTTCATTTGAATTTTTTGGACATCCTGCTTTTGAAAGGTACTTTTGCTTTTGTAAACTGCTGTTAATGAGGACTATATAAACCATGCACTCAACAGAAATGACATATGTAATTTAGAAGGACATGTTACGTTATCGGCATTATGCTGGATAAGAACAATTGAAATTTATAGAGTATTTAGAAGAAAGTCAAGATGGTAGGGTCAATTTAATTTTTTATGCATTTGGGAATGATTGTGAGAAGGGTATGGAAAAATTGGCCAGAATGATTAAGAAAGTATCCCTAAATTATTAATCAGTCATTAAGGAGGATAAGAAAGATCTTAGGTTGGAGGTGAAAGAATGATGCCATGCTTCCTAATAAAATTATAGCTAAGCCATGTGATGCAAATGATATGAAATTCTTCTGCAGGCCAAACATAATTGGTTCTTGCCAAACATATTGCACCTATAGGCTATATAGCTTTTAAGAAAGTTGGAGATTTCAAAGAAATCTAAAATTTATAGTCTTCCTATTGCCCATGCAAGCTCTTTCTGAGTTGATTAAGTCTTACTTAAGGAAAGTACAATAATTGGCCACCATTTCATTCATGATACTATATGATATTTGTTACTTTTTCTGTCTCCTTTTGATTGCATTTTCAGCTCATTTCATATTTTTTCCTCATGAAAGTATGATTCGTGTTGATTAGCACCTATATTCCCCCATGAAAAGGCATCTGTTAATCCTCAGTGATATTCAACTTGAGTAGATATGTTGCGATGCAAAAGGGGAAAAAAGTTCACTGCTGCCTCTATTTTAGTTGTATTATGTTTCTACTTGTGATAAGATAGGATCTGTTTACAGGATCATCAATGGATATTGTTTAATAAGTTTTAGAATCCAATTTATCTCTTCTAGAGGGCAGTTTTAGAGAAGATCTACCAACAGCATTTTCGGTGGTGAGTGGAAATTTTAAAAGTAATGGTTCATAGTTTCCAGTTGAGAAGATGGTGTTTAGAGCTTTTGGTTTTCTTAAAGCTTCCTGAAAGTTTGTAAATTTGATGAAATGTAAAAGTAAACACTGCAAGAAATAAAGATAAGGTTTCCAGACTAATTCTGTGGATTAATCTGTTTAACAAGTTAGGGAAGATAGCTTTGTGTTAAGGCTCCATAACCATAGTTGAGTGTTTAATTGGTAATAACTGGAGTTAGAACTTGTCATGGGTACACTTTTGCATCAACCTGGTAGAGATGTCTGATTGCAGTATTCTCTGATTATTGAGATGTCGCAGCCCCCTTTTACCTGAAATCCTTGACATATTGGCATTTGATGGATGGTATCATGACTTCATTAAATAGTCTTCATCATGCTTCTTTTTACTTGCTTATGCTGTTACCCCTATTTAGTGTTTTTTGGCTTAATTTACTTCTTTTTTTCCTAGATTGAGAAACCTCTGCAGAGGCATGGTGGCAGGCTTGAACACAATGAGACATATTGTGGGTCATGTTTTGGTGCAGAACAGGTATGTTTGATATTTGGAACCCCTTATGTCACTATGTTTTTAATTTGATATTTGAGGCATGTTGAATAATATCTATTAGGTGATAATAAGGATATGAACTAGTAAATGGCTGGGAAAATTTTCCTGAAACATTCAAGTAACAATTATTGCTTTAAAACCAGGAAATATGTGCATGTGATTATCAGGCTTGGTATAGTTCATTGTGATAGTGTCTAGTTACCGCTCTAAATTTTTCTCGGCTACAAAAACTTATGCATCACTCTTTGGTATTGTATGCAAATTAAAAATCTTGGAGAACTACAACATTCTACATCAAGTATAACCTTGACTCTTTCTGAGAAAAAGCTAGTGTTTTGTTAAGAACTGGGTGAATACAACAAACTATAGTAAGGAAAAGTGTAATTTGGATATACGCCTTTTTTTAGCCCTTTGAGTGCTTAAATGCCTCCTGAGTTAATCTGCTATGCAGTGATATGCAAGTGGCTAAGAGCAAAGACAGTTCTCAGGTCGGAATTGCTCATGTGTAGGATGGAAGTAATGATTAATGGCTAACTTGGTGGTGGACGGTCCAAATGATCTGGAGTACATTATTTAATTCTGAGGTTGTCAGATCTTGGTTCTCAATTGTTAGCTTGCCATCCATGCATTGCAATTTAAAATGTTGATGGTACAGAGTGGCTAAATCTTCCAAGAAAATTTGAATTGCAATTAAAAGTGCTGTAATAGATTGATTGCCTATACCTTAAGGAAGCATGATGCTTGAAGACATATTAGTGCTCTACAAAATTGATAAAGACAGTACTGAACCAGTTTGAAATTTTTTCTGGAATTGACTGCTGAAATTAGTATGATTTGATGATGTCAAGGATGGTATACAAACTTAATTGGAATACATATCCTATATGTAACATCTTAGCTAATTATTTGATTGTATTTGTATGCCACTAATGAGAGGTCCCTCTGTATGGTGCAGTCAGATGATGACTGTTGTAACTCGTGTGAAGAGGTTCGTGAGGCATATCGGCGAAAAGGGTGGGCAATGACTAATGTGGACTTGATTGACCAGGTTTCTTTGCAAGTTCTTTTTCCAAGTGTTTTCTTGGCACTGCTGGATAATTATATGCTGCATGTGCTAAGATTTAATGGGATCTGTATATTCTGTAAAATTTTCATCCCTTGCTCCCTAGCTTGGGAAAACAAATCCTACTTTCTGGCTTTATATTATGTCTGTGCTTTTTTCATTTTTTTTTTTTTGGTTTTCCAGTGTAAAAGAGAAGGCTTTATCCAAAGGGTGAAAGATGAGGATGGTGAAGGATGCAACATTCATGGATCTCTTGAAGTTAATAAGGTTGCTGGAAATTTTCATTTTGCACCAGGGAAAAGCTTTCATCAGACAAATATTTTTCTCAGTGACTTGCTAGCTTTCCAGAAGGATAGTTATAATGTGAGGCTTATATTTGTATTTAAGTTCTCTTTTGTGATGAAAATGTTTTATGTTAATATAGATATGTGCTTTATATGAATTTCAAATGGTAATGATGTTTGGTATTTTTGGTGTACGATACAGATAAGTCACAGAATTAATCGGTTAGCTTTTGGTGAATACTTCCCTGGTGTGGTAAATCCTCTTGATGGGTAATTCGTATTTCCTCTTTCATCATGGCTACTCACACTTCTTAAAGACTCTTCTATAGTCTTTCTGGCATCATCTTCTTTCTTTTCAAACTGAAAATGAAAAAGAATCCAAGTACTGAAAATTTTAATGGTGGTTCCATATTGCTGTTTCAGGGCACAGTGGATACATGAAACCTCAAATGGTATGTACCAGTATTTCATCAAGGTTGGTATTGTAAACTATCTATCAATGTTCCTTGTTCTTTAGCTTTTCTAAGTGACAGATCAATGTTATCTTGTGACTTTAGCTTTCATTTTCATGCCCATTCTGGTGGATTGAGGGAACTACTTTTGATGCACATAATAATTGCACACTCTACCTATAACATATTATAATTGCTCTCTTTTTTTTTCTATGAAAAAGAACAAATAATTCAGCGGATTATGTGGACCTCTCACTCTCTCTCCAAGTGCACAGCATACAGTCATTGTTTTTAGTTGTGCTTGAGTGCCTATGTGTGGACTTGTGAACAGATATCTTGGTTAATTTTGCAGGTGGTCCCCACAATTTATACTGACATCAGTGGCCGCACTGTTCACTCTAATCAGGTACTGCTTGACTGTTAACACGTTGAGATTAAAAATCACTTTGTTTATCATATTTATTGGATCATGTTCTGATACATGCCAGCATTCCTATTGCACAGTATTCTGTGACGCAGCATTTCAAGAATTTGGAGTTCATTTCTCTTAACTCTCATCCTGGAGTTTTTTTCATCTATGACTTTTCTCCAATAAAGGTAGGTTCCTTTTATGTACACCTTCCAATCTAATGAGATTTTTTTTTTTTGGGGTGTAGTTTCATGATAATATAGGTACTTCTGCTCTCAGTAGAACCCTTTTCTTGTTCCCAATATTGCTTTGCATTTCCTCTCCCTGCTGGATGTTTGGTTTGTTACAAGTTGTTTTTATTTCTGTCATTGCTAATAATTTGTTATACTTGAATTGTTGTTTGTGAAAAAATAGAAATGTATTGTATCTATAGATTATTCTGAGGGGATCAGTCTTTGAATTTGGACATTCTCTTAGGAACTCAAATCTTCTTTTCTTTCTTTTCCTCAACCTGCCTTTGACCCTTATCTCCTGATTCCAAAGCAGAAAACTTGAAGTAAACATGATACTTTGCATGCATCAGAAAGCCCCATATGCTTTGCCTGCTAATGCTTCAAGGTGGCCATCGTAGAAAGTTTTGGCTCATCAATTACTTTTCTATACATCCATCGTCACCATTCACATGTGTAGAATCAAGCCATAAATTGTGGAGCCTATGCATTTGAATGATGATAAAGGTGTACTGCAAAGTAATGGGGAGAAGCCGAATCTATTGTTGAATTGCCAAGACATTAACAAATCCCTATGTAACCAAAAGAAAGAAACTGTATAACGTTACTTTTCATTTTGCCCTGTGCAGGTCACTTTTAAAGAGGAACATATTTCATTTTTGCACTTTATCACCAACATATGTGCAGTAATTGGAGGTACTATCATTACAAACTCCCTCTATCTTCTCCTGTGTGATGGATTACTCCAAACCTTGTACTATAAGTGTTTCTGTGGCCAAATAATATACTATAAGTTATGACTGAAGCTAGTTCTAGTCATTTTCTTCCTGGTTTGACTTGAATAAAGTTAGAGATAGTTTTTATTTTCCTTTTTGATTTACTAATGCATTGGCAAGCTTTACCAGATGGTCATGGTTAGTTTTAAGTGACAGATTGTGGTACTTGCTTGTTTAGGTATCTTTACAGTTGCGGGGATAATTGACTCATTCGTATATCATGGTCAAAGAAGGATGAAGAAGAAGATGGATATTGGCAAATTCAGATGATTTTTCTTCATTTCTGCCTAGTGTTCCAGGATGCTGCCTTGGCTTCCAGCACAACAGTATTTGGATCATTGCTTTCACAGGGATCCACGCTGCTTCATGCCAAAGATTATGTGACAAATTGGTCCTCCGATCATTTCTGCAGTTGTCAGATTTTTTTTACTTCTTTCTAACTCCATCTCCGGCCACTGAATTTCTACTTCCTACTTTCACTGTGAAAAGAAAGAAAAATGGGATGAACACTTGTAATTTAATGAGCGTTGATTTTTTATTGAAAGTTTGATGAACGTTCGAGTCATTCTACCGGAGGGTTAAAACTTAAAACTACACTTTAGGAGAATCTAAGAACTTCGTAATTGATTTTCCCTTTTGATTCTGATTGACAGAAAATGCTTTTAGAATCTTGGCAGAGAAGTCTTAACTCCTCTAAAACCGTGGGAATGTGTAGTGACTGGGATTTGGTGGGACTACTTTGTTGATGAACACACCAAAAAGCAGAAAAAGCCCTGGTCCATCAACAGACCGCAGCCCCTTCATATCAATTAGCCAACCTTGGATCCAATTGGATAAATGCTTTTGCTCCCTGGAAAATGTGGTTTGAGGGCAGGGCGATCGATAAACGTCAGAAATGAACGACCTATGCTATCTTCTCCTTTTGATTGAGCTAGGCAATGGGAAATCTTCGATGCACAAATATAACACAGGACGGATGACTCTTGGAGGATGTTCTGAACACCAAGCTTATCTAGATGAATTCCAGGTAGCAAAAGGAATACTCCATTTTAACTTTTACAAACCAAGAATTATATCAGCTTCCAGAAAGGACAGATAGGAGAATAAAGCGAGTAGCTAGTACATTGATACACAAATTTTTTCATGCTGGCAAGAAAATTAAAAAGGGCCAAAAAAAATTAAAAAGACTCAGTTGAATCAAGATCCCAGCAGCTAACACAGAACATGACTACTTTTAAATCCCAGTCTTTTCCAAACTATTCAAAAGGATAAGAATCTGCTACTCAGTGTTCTCAGCATCATTCCAAGAAGCAAATGCTGTAATCTTTTTCAATCAACTATCATTTACTCTGTATAGGAGTTTGTACTCCACCCAGATTGATTGAAATATGGGAAAGCTTCAATCTAATAGCCTCAAACTCAGCATTCTGCCTTTCTTCTGTAGTCAACCATGATGATAAACAGCGATCAATAAAGTCCTGGCCACAACTCAAGGGAGAACGTCCCCTCAAACTGCCCATCCTCCCAAATCTTGCAATCCTGGCTAGATTTGAATCAGAAGGTTCCTCTGCATAAGTCTCTAAAATGTCCTTAATGGCACCACACCAGATAGGTCGAGCTACCTTAAGAAAGTCATGCAAAACCAACACTGGAAGGTTCACGCTTCCTAGTTCAGACTCACCATGCCCACCTCTCCCATGATAATCTGCTCCTCCAAGCTTCAAAAGGTCATAAGTATCTGCCAAGTCACTGTACGCTGTTGATTAAATGACAGAAAAAGCTTTAGTGGCAGGCAAAGAAAATAGGCAGAAACATGAGAATAGTGGATAGGTGTAGCAACTAGTCTTAAATAATTCATCTTTGTGTAAAAGCCAAGCTCAACATAAAACAATAATAATAATAATAATAAATGAAATATAACATAACAAGAGAAAATAAGAAAATGCTACATCCAAGTGTAGAATCAGATTTTGCAATCATAAGGAAATAATTGAGCATTTCTGTGAGCATGATTGAATTGTTTTTCTCTAAGTGCATGGATTGCCAGGTGGATGTGTAAAAGCATGTGTGTGAGAGACAAGGATATTAACACAGCAAATATAACACCTGCCAATCTTCCATCACTTCTGTAAACCTCCATTCCATGAAGTCCAGCATCTTTTAACCTTCTTATGATGGGAATAGGATTCTTTAGTGCCCAGGGATGAGCCAGCACCGCTAAACCCCCTGTTTCACATATAAACTGCACTGCTTCTTCTGCAAGAGGCTCGCTTCCCCTAACCCAGGACCAAACAAAAATTCTCATAAATCCTTTCTTAAAAAAATTAAGAAATATGCATTGAGCATAATCAAGGGGGAAAAGATACAAATAAGAAGAGATGATTACGTGGAATACGCAGGTCCACCATCATATAAATATCTGGCGAAAGCTTGTTTTAGATTCTCTACATAACCTGCTTCAACCATAGCTCGAGCTACATGCAGTCTCCCAGGAGCCACTCCCTTGCCTGTAATCTTAGTAACATGCTCCCACTTAAGAGGTAGCTTGAGTTTATTGAGTTTCAAAACCATGTCCTTTGCGCGGAGATAACGTCCATCCCTTATGTTAGCCAAGAACGTTTCCAGCGCCTCGTACCTTGTTGGGCCACAGCTGCTGTAATATGCAAGGATGTGCACTGGTTCCTCCATTTCAGAGTTTCTGCTTTTGAATCAAGAAATGAAACATAAGAGGTAGACGTACAGAGAACAAAAAGCAACTGGACAGTCTGCTTCTTTCAGAAAGGACTAACTTTGGCCACACCTCACTAAAATCTAGGATTTTGACAAATTTAGCCCCTGAAGCCGGACGATAAATCGTCTGAAAGTACCAGGAGACAGTCCTGGCTCATGCAAATAACTATTAAAAATATCCAAAGAAAAACTGAATTAACTAATGTTGGTTGTATTAATTGAACAAAAACCTCGGTGAGAATATTGTGCTGATCTCAACACCAGGGATTATCTTGATACCAAATTTGCGAGCTGTTTCTATGGCCTCAGGGATCCCAGACATTGTATCATGATCTGTCAGAGCAAGAACTTTCACCTGCTCCAAACACAATGTACTAATTAAATTCCAATTACTTACAATGTATTAAAGAACCTATATGCAAGGGCTGCCAATTTATTCAATGAAAAAGTTGAAAGAAACAAAACGTGAAGATTAAATTGGCAGTAAAGAACACATTTCTAATAGATATCTCCACATAAAGGATCCATGAATGCCTCCTACAATACTAGTCTGCTCCTTAAATTGAAACTCATTTCCTATTTTGAATTTTGTTATTCCTCAAACTTTACATGCATTTGGGAATTCAAGCTCAATTTAGCTGCCCCGTAGTCTCAGTTGAAGGTCAGTCAAAACGAAACTCACTTAAAACAAAAGAGAAGTATGTGAAAACATTTCAATATTCAAAAAATGGCTCACAACACCATCAGACAATTCTCAAAAACCTGTCATATTTCAATCCAGAAACCTTTTTCCTGTTTCCTCAGTGAGTGTTTGTGTTTACAAAAAAAAGGGAGGGTAGAGGGGAAGGGATAAAGAAAAACGGAAACATATAGAGTGAACAGTTAAAAAAACCACTAGTTTCTGTCCTCTGCTGAGTAGCTTTGGCCATTTATGTGCTACCTAGAATCTATTTAGTTCACGGGCGGATTTTGTTGGCTAAATTATACCCAAGCTCCGACATCCATAACCACAACACCTTCCTTTCAAATGCTGATGTGACAAATTTTGAATAGATACTTCTTGCTGGAATTCCCCATCAAAACTTATTTACTTTTACCCTTTTTTTCAACTAGTAACCACAAAAATGCATAGATATGGACCACCATAGATTTCACAAGTACTAGCTAATACACAGTAACATTAAATTTGCAAGCAAGGAAAAGGAACAGCACTAGGAAAAATAAATTAGAAAATTGAACATGAGAGACAGACACAAGAAGTACAATTCTTTAAATGTTCACTCAATGGTAGAAGAAGAAGACATAGCCATAGCCTTGGTATCCAGAGCCTATAGGAGTCAAAGAATGAGTTAAACCAATAAAAAACAAAACATGTAGCAGAATACATAGTGAAATTTACATACAAAAAGCAAAAACATTACCATCAAATGTTCAAGAAAGACAATACACCTTTATAACAGTAAACGCAATAAATCCACAAAAAGTACGACTTATATTTCAGCTATTCAATCAAAAAAATTTGGATAAAGCATTTAGTCAAAAACTCCAACAACAGAGAATATTCAGAAACAAAAAGCAAAACCCATATCTGATACCGTTTTAATATAAATAGGGAAAGAATCTTGACTCACCCCATTGCCATGAGCCCTCTCAACGAGCTTAGAAGGGGACAAGAACCCATCACTATGTTTAGAATGGGAATGCAATTCAAACACCACTTTCTCCATGCCTCTTCCCAGACTCTTCTGCACCCCAAAATCATCCACCACCCACGAAGATAAGGCCGCTGTGGAAGAAGAATTCTGGCAATCCAAATAAACCCAATCAGTCACCGACTTGAAAGCCAGAGTTTGCTCAGCGGTCATCTTCCGTTTGCTACCCCCACGCTTCTTCTTCTTCTTCCTCTTCTTGTCTTTTGCTTTGTTGTTATTATTGCAACTGGAATTGTTATCGCCAAGCCCAACCATGGATGATGAATTCTTTGTTTCTCTTTTGACCCCAGAGAGAGAAAAGGGGGGGGGAGAGAGAGACAGAGAGAGAGAGAGGGAGAACAGTAGTAATACTAAAAGAAAGAAAAAATAATGACTGCAAAAAGAAAGGTACTATTCTCTATTATTTTAGGATAGATAGTAGATTAGACAGATGGAAGTTTTGAAGAGAGACTGATTGGACACGTAAAGGGCGTAGACAAAGGCAGAAGCAGAGGCAGGACGCCAGGGCCAGAGCCATAGGGGGCCTAACCTGCCTATTACTGGGCACTACCCCTTCTTTCTTTTGTGTCACAACTCGATGTTGTAGGTCACAGGTGTCCGGTCTTTCCTTTTGGTCCGAAAGATGTACCTTTGTTTTTCCGACCCTCTTCCATCTTCTTCCCCCCGACCCATTTCTTCCCACTTTATTATTGTTATAATAATTACTCTAATTCATATTAGTAATTTCTAAGAGCTACAATGTAAATCTATGCTCTTCTAGTGAAAGATTTCCGGATTGTGTGGATTTATTTTATTTTATTCTCTATATTAATTAAAAGACAAAAAATAATTTGGAATAATCCAGCCCCACCTTGAAAGAATTTTAATTTAACCAATACCGAGAAGCTCAATTTAATTAATTATATTTCTTCTTTTATAAAAATAAAAGTGCTAAGCCTGGCTGTGGGTCATGTACTACCTGCATCACATGGACTCTAGTCGAGGCATTAAAATCCTAGAGAAATTTTGTTTTTTCAATTTTACTTTGTCATGCCTACCGTACAAATTATAGTAGAATATTAGTTGTTCCAATTGTTAAATTTAAATTTTGAGCTTCACATTAAATATTAAAAATAACCTTAATTATCCATAGGACATCCAGAAATTCGATCTATGAGATTAATTTGGTTTATTGTATTGTAAGATTATCCTTTTAAGTTTCTAACCTA